ACTCCATTAAATATTAGAAAGTCGAATGAACACTCCAACTTTCCAACAAAATTCTACTGTTGTACGGATGGCTTTGGGTACACACAGACAACTTGATGTCCAATCCCATATTTGAAGCTGGAATGTCTATCTGCACCTGCAAATTTTAAGTTGGCCACTGGATACAGACTGCTGACTCAACTGACAAAGAGACCATGATCAGCTGAGTTCAATGTTCGGATATTCTGACAGAGATTCACCCACCACTGTCAGAATACAATAGCCGGTGGAGGGGATTTCATGGGGTTGGATTTTCCCAACCAACACGCCTGACTTTAGTTGTTCAGTGGAGGTGACAGCAGAGTGCACTGAAATACAGGCCTGTGTAATATCTGTACATCTATGGTGTAGGCTGTGGTCACTATCTAATGTCAATGCTCAGCTTGAAAGTCCTATCTCGGCTAATAAGTCCAGTAAAGCTGCCACAGCCAAGCTGAGGTAGTCAGGAACTACATGAGCAATAAAATCTCTCTGCTACCGAGTGATTGAACCGCTTGCTAAAGGTGCCCATACACCTGCCGACTATCGTACGATAATCACGGGAAATCCCGCGATCGTACCATAATCGCCAGGTGTATGGAAGGCGTGTGACTGTTTCTGCTGTACGGCCGCACGTCTCGTACGATTGTACGATTGTCGGCGGGTCTGTGGCCTGCTCGTAAGACAAATGCGCAGGCACACACTGCCCGTTCAGCATTGCAGTCATCGGCAGAGAGCCGTGACAGGATTGAAAGGTGAGCGAACACCGGCATGTGTTCGCTCACCTCCCAATCTACTGAGCCGCCCTGTGACAGTCTCATTGTCACAGGTCGGCTAGAACTATGAGGTGAGTGGAAAGCACTCACCTCATAGTTCTCCTTTAACATTAGCAAAACAAAAGCAAGATACATTACAAAGAACAAAAGCAAAAAGTGTGCCCCGTTCGGGGTGCAGCATAATCAACAAGTAGAGGTTCAAAGGTATCAGAACAAACAAAAACAAGTGTAGCGATAACTCCCCGCAGGGAGCCGCCGATTGCCGGTCCCCATCTAGTCAGTCTAGGGGTTGATTATCAGCCGCACCCATTAGCACTTACAGCCCATAAATTGATGTCCCCTTAAGTATTATGATGCTACTTGAACAGTTTATTGAACATACTCTGTGGGAGAGAGGGTATAGGGTCTAGGTGCACAGGCCTCCTTAGCTCCAGACTCACCGGATCTAATCTTCAAGGGAATACACATCCACAATCCATGAAAGAACACGGACCCCGCTCTGAAGTCCACATAAATCCAAGGTACTTCAAGAGCCCGCACTGGTCCTGGTTCTTCCATCTTTCAGGCATTCTCCAAGTTGGAAGCCTCCAAGGAAACCTCTCCCTGAGCAGCTCAGCCAATCCCCACCCCAGGCCTCGGCCTAGCCTAGGCACATGGCACCCCCACCAATATATGTACACTTGGTCAGCAGGCCACACTGGCTGCAAGAAGCCCAGTAACTGGCTGCTGCACTGTACACACATTACAGTGTCACCTATTGGCTGTCCCACAATGTGACAGAGTCCCACTCCGCCCAGGGGCACAGACAAGGTCAGACACCTGGGAATTAACCATGTACTTGCTGCTACAAATCCAGCCAGGCTGTCTACAGCCCTGGCATATCACTAAATGCATGGTAGTCACATCACAAAAGGTGATGGGCGCTACACAAGTTACCTGGAAATGGCTGAAAGCATGCCCCGCTAATATCTGGGTGACCCAGCTGGCAAGGCCATATACTGTACGCCAACAGGTAGAGTCTGGTTGAAATATTTAGCAGAGCTGGAGATGTGATGGCAAATTATTAGTACCATGGTATATAGGGAGGGCCATGGGAACTGGTAACGACCCAATACTAGGTGATATTGGTTTCAAGGTGAGATCCCACACACAAAAAAAAGACGACATGGAGTTTCCTCCTTCACATCTGAGTCCCCCTTTTAGCAAAAATTTGAAGGAACCCCAGACAATGCCAGAAGGCATCACTGGGTGACATGGTACCCTGGCTGCGAAAGGCTGTTCTACAATATGAAAACACCTAAATGATACAAGTCTTGCTTTTCCATATCCCAGATGTCGTCAGTGTGGAACAGATGAATCACAACGGTCACACTTCTACAACTTTTACAGATGACTCATCTGTTAACATTATCTTTCCATGACATACTCTTCCAGGCAATAAACTGTATGAAGACAGGTCTATTATGTCACAATCTCATGTCAGGAAGAGATATGAAATCATTTACACAGTTGGAAATATTGTGTAAATGTAAACGGTGACTGTGCTGGATTATGTGCTGCCACTTTCCATTCACCTGCTGTATGTCATCATGATAGTACAGGAGACTGCTAACCTCTGACCCTGCCTTGTATAGGGAGAGCTAATTTGGGTATATTCTGGCATAGTTCATTTAAAGCCAACCCAGCTCCTTTTATTTATAAGCACAATAACCCTTCTTGTCTCTTGTATACAAAGCAAGTTTGATAACATTGTATTCTGTTGATACAGTAAATAAAGATTGAAATCTCACTTTTTGATGGCAGACATTAGAACGCCCTCTGAAAACGCCCATAAACATGAAAGCCTTTTGCAAGCAAACCCAGCCCATCCTTATGTCAACAGGAATGTCACCGCGGCCTGCTACATACAATGGAGAATAAAAGGAATGTGAAAGGGGGACAAATATTGCATCCAAAAAAGCCAAACAGGTAAGTAGAAATATTTGAAAACAATTTTCAGGACCCCTTCCCAGCTAAAGCACATTAAAGGGAGGTCAGCGTCAGAGGAGCGGCCCTGTGGAACTCGCCATCAACAGGATCGCTAAATAGAACTCTCAGCGGGAGCAATGGTAGGAAGACGACTCTGTGGTCTAGCCAGTGAGGGTGCAACCCCATAGAAGCAGGTGAGTGATTTCTTGCTCTGCCATTACTGACGAGTTGCCAAAAATGATGAATCACTGGTGTCACATGTGCCTAAATGTGACTTAACCGCTTGATGACCAGGTGTTTAGACCCCCTTCCTGGCCAGGCAATTTTTCAGTGTTCAGCGCTGCGGTACTTTGACTGACATTTATTCCGTCATACAACGCTGTACTGAAATTAATTTTATACCATTTTTTGGGGACAGACAGAGCTTTATTTTGGTGGTATTTATTCACCACTGGGGGTTTTATTTTTTACTATATTCAGGAGAAATTACTGAAAATGTTGAAAAAAACAACTAATATTACCACTTTTTTGGTAAAATATAAAAGACGGGGTCACGTCGGGTAAATAGACACCAAACATGTCAAGCTTAAAAATTGCGCGCATTCGCGAAATCGCAAAAAACTAGCATACCCAAAATTGGCCATAGGCGACGCTTTAAACGCTTTTACAGCTTATCAGTTTCGTGTTATCAGTGATTGATGGCCCTAAAATTATTGCTCTCACTGCGCCGTTCGAGGCAATATGCAACCTGTGCGGCGTAATGGGCGCAATCGTCGTTTTCGCAGGTATGCGCACCTGACGCATGTTTACGTGCGTGTATGTAAGGGTGGGGACTTTTTAAAAAAAATAAATAAATTTATTCTTTTTTATGTGTAACTTAAAAAAAATTTGGGGGGAAACTTTAAATGTTTTTACTATTTTTTTTATTTCACTTAACTTTATTGCTATCACAGAGGGGGCTAAGAAACCCCTATATGTGATAGCAAAAGAGGTGACAGGTCCTCTTTATGGAGACATCAGGGATCTCCAAGACCCCTAATGTCACCTAGGACCCCCCTGAAGAAGCTGATGAAGCAGAGATCTGCTTCATCAGCTTCTGTCCAGCATCTGAAGCTGGAGAGTGACACGAGAATGCGGAAGTGATGTATTATACACCACTTCCGCATTCTGACAGCGGAGAGGGGACCGGAGGGAGCTCGTGAACCTACCTCCCTCTAATACCCTCTCAGAGAGCCACTATGCTGGTCCTGGGCTCGCACCGGGCACAGCGGAGACCGGGATCAGCGTAACAGCGGGAGGGGGGGAGCCGCAGAGGGGGCGCACATATCGGGACCCCATACAAGCGATCCGCCGGTTCTATAGCCGGCGGATCGTTTGTATGTTAACAGGCATCGCTGCCGGTTTTTTAATTATGCGTCCTTCCCGCTCGCGTGGCGCGCACGAGTGGGCGGGACTAATAGGACGTGTATACACGCCCAGTTACATCCAAGAAGCTCCCGGCCGGCTGTTGTGTATACACGGCCGGCAGGTAGTTGAAGGAGTACTCCGAGCATATGAAATCTTAACCTTTACAGTGGGGCTACACCTGCATTGCAAGGGTTAAGTGCTCATATTGTCTAAGGTGCCAAAATAAAGATAAACTCACCCAAATTTTGTACCCACAGCTGACAGGGTGGCACACAAGGAGCTTCTCCCAGGTTCTGAAGAGCTCAGGTTCGGTCTGAACCTGAGCTTAGTCCTAGTGACCACTTTACTGGCACTGGGGGGCGAGAAACCAAAATTATGAATTGCCACCAGAACAGGAACAGAAATCTTTTCCCAGTTACAACTGTCTTAGTGGGAATTTTTCTCACTTCCTGTTGTGTCTACAGAAGAAAAAAACAGATGGGGTTTTCATTATTCCTTACTCCATCCAAAATAAAAAGTGTCCCTATGGGCGGCCTTCTGTAAGCAGATGTGCATCCATTTACATCTGGGTCTGTTGCCCTCCACCCAAATTCCCTGGCAGGACCACGTGATTGTTCTTGGAAAGCCCTCCTCCCACAAGAAAACTAAGCTAAGAGCAGTAATTGCCAAATACAAATCACACAACTACAGGCTGAGCAGCTGCCATCATACTAATTACACCGTACATGACAGGTCCTCTTAGCAGCAATCAGGTCTGAGACTCAAAGCTAGGCTGCGATCCTGCCCTAAATCTGACATACAGTGACCCCGATGAAGCATGGTGACACCCACCTCTGTGCTGACACTCCGGGTCCCAGTTCCTCTTCCCGTTCTGACTCTAGCTGCTGAGAGTTGTCTATAGACAGTTCCAGGAGCCCCGCCCAGCCGCTCCCCGGCCCCGCCCACATTCCACATACTGGTGACAACATTTCCTACACTGATCCTCATAGTGGGGAGTCCTAGCAGCCGGGCTGTGTGCTGAGTGTGCTGAGCTGCCAGGGCTGCTGGGATACATTGGCTTCTTTACAACACACACAGGGACCATGGGGAACAAAAGTAGCCCCCCTCCAGAAGGAAGGACAGTGTCAGCACCAATTCAGAGATTTGAGGATGTACAGCCGAGTAATACACAAATAAGATGCAATTTTGTTAATAGTTAAAGTAAAATGTGCGAGTATAGTTATGAGTTATAGTATATTTAAGGTACATGAATGCATTTTTAAGATTGAACTCCTGTGTTTTGTGTCACTTTACAGCGGAAAGTAAAGTGGGTACGCACAGCATATTAGCACATTATGGCCAACCTACCTGGTAAACAATCCTCTCCAGTGCGGCGCTGTCCACTCTCCCCTCCACTCTCAGTGCTGCCATCTTCTTCTGGTTTTCTTCCGGGTTCAGCACCTTTGGCCTCTCAGTTGGCATGATGTAACTCCAGTACAAGTTACTTCATCCTGGCATGGTGAGTCTGTGGACAGGAAGAAATTGCTGAGAGGCAGGTAGGAGATTTTTGGCAGAAGAGGCTTACACAGTGCCTGCTTGTCAGCAATTTTTGAAAAGGACACTTAACTTCCACTTTAAGCTGGCCATAAGCTGCTTGCATTTCATCTGAGTCCTGCTGGCTCGAAATTCGAGCAGTGTCTGCCCTTGTTAGCACCCCTCCATTTTTCAAGTCGGTCTGAAAATGCTCGGCTGAATAGTGACAGCAGCCAATCCACTGCAGTCACTATTCGGGTTTTCTAACAGCGGCACACCCATCACTGTCAGAATACAATATCCCAGCATGAGGCATTCGCCATCCATGCTGTTTAGAGGGAATTCCCCCATCCATGCTGTTTAGGAAGGATTCCCCCATCCATGCTGTTTAGGAAGGATTCCCCCATCCATGCTGTTAAGGAAGGCTTCCCCCATCCATGCTGTTTAGGAAGAATTCCCCCATCCATGCTGTTTAGGAAGGATTCCCCCATCCATGCTGTTTAGGAAGGATTCCCCCATTCATGCTGTTTAGGAAGGATTCCCCTATCCATGCTGTTTAGGAAGGATTCCCCCACCCATGCTGTTTAGGAAGGCTTCCCCCATTCATGCAGTTTAGGAAGGATTCCCCCACCCATGCTGTTTAGGAAGGATTCCCCCATCCATGTTGTTTAGGAAGGATTCCCCTATCCATGCTGTTTAGGAAGGCTTCCCCCATCCATGCTGTTTAGGAAAGATTCCCCCACCCATGCAGTTTAGGAAGGATTCCCCTATCCATGCTGTTTAGGAAGGATTCCCCCATCCATGCTGTTTAGGAAAGATTCCCCCATCCATGCTGTTTAGGAGGGATTCCCCCATCCATGCAGTTTAGGAGGGATTCCCCCATCCATGCTGTTTAGGAGGGATTCCCCTATCCATGCTGTTTAGGAAGGATTCCCCCATCCATGCTGTTTAGGAAGGCTTCCCCCACCCATGCAGTTTAGGAAGGCTTCCCCCATTCATGCTGTTTAGGAAGGATTCCCCCATTCATGCTGTTTAGGAAGGATTCCCCCATCCATGCTGTTTAGGAGGGATTCCCCCATCCATGCAGTTTAAGAGGGATTCCCCTATTCATGCTGTTTAGGAAGGATTCCCCCATTCATGCTGTTTAGGAAGGCTCCTCCCATCCATGCTGTTTAGGAAAATTCCCCCACCCATGCTGTTTAGGAGGGATTCCCCTATTCATGCTGTTTAGGAGGGATTCCCCCACCCATGCTGTTTAGGAAGGCTCCTCCCATCCATGCTGTTTAGGAAAATTCCCCCACCCATGCTGTTTAGGAGGGATTCCCCTATTCATGCTGTTTACGAGGGATTCCCCTATTCATGCTGTTTAGGAGGGATTCCCCCATCCATGCAGTTTAGGAAAGATTCCCCCATTCATGCTGTTTAGGAAAGATTCCCCCATTCATGCTGTTTAGGAAAGATTCCCCCACCCATGCAGTTTAGGAAGGATTCCCCTATTCATGCTGTTTAGGAAGGCTTCCCCCATTCATGCTGTTTAGGAAAGATTCCCCCATTCATGCTGTTTAGCATGGATGAAGGAATGAATCACTTATCATACAGCCCATGGGGGCTGACAAGAAAAAAATAAGTGTATGGCCAGCTTTAGAAACTTTGTACGATTCTTATCACTGTATTCCCCCAGGTCTCCATGTAACTCACCAGCAATAGGATCACTAAAGAGAGCATTGATTTGGCCCTCTGGCATAGCCTCCCTTGCTGTCCAGTGTTGGAACAAAGCAATACCTCAATGATTCAGAGGGACGCTGTTGGAGAATGTAAGCAAATTATAATATTATAGTGTCAGCAATGGGTTACTTGTATTACCATTCCAATGGCCACGGCTTCCCTTGTCCCCAGTCACTGCATGTATTCCACACTTCTGGGTGTTTAGACTACCTGCTTCCCTGCCACACGCTGTGGTTCCTCTCACTACAGGGGGTGGCAAGAATAACAAGTATTCAACCCATCTAAAAGGGGTCAGAGATTATCTTCAGCGGCCAGGGAGCATCAAAGAGGCAGTGTTTCAGGCAATAAAAATATTACATTTTCTTTTACAGGATACATATGATATACAAGTGACCCTGTGATGGCAGAGTCTCATTTAAAAAAATGAAGGCTGAAAATGCGAGGATACCAACATTCTACACCATACCAAAAGTATATCAAGGTCTAATATCCCTGTAGAGGAGGCTGATTGTTTCAGGCATTGATTGCCTAATGGAAAAAGGGACCCTCGTATAGCCAGGCAGATGCCATTGGCATGGCACTAGCACCTCTAGATATAGGATTTTTCCACCCCTCGTATAGCCAGGCAGATGCCATTGGCATGGCACTAGCACCCCTAGATATAGGATTTTTCATATAACGGTCTTGTGGTTGCCTTCAGTTCTTGCTAATTACTGGGGCGACTGGTCTTCTCTGGCCTTATATAATTGTGGATCATGTATTTCCTTTTTCAGGTGGACGGAGTCACTCTCCTTTGCTGTCCTGAAAGATTCCTGGAAATATACTAGTTACCAGGTAACTAATTTATTTTTACATAATCTTAAATGAAATAATTTATAAATAACAAATAATTCTAATTAGAGTCAAAATGGTGTAAAAACATTTATACATAGACCCCCATAATATATTAAAGTTGCAGGATTCCCACTCTCTCCATGTGCAGGGTGTTGGGATGGGCATCATGAGTGCCCCTTCTTATGCAAACCTGCACCTATCAGGGGGGAGTGCGAGTATTTTATGATGAGGGGCAGTCTGTGTACACGTGGCACAGGTACAGTAAGCACAGGCCCCGTTGAAATGTTAAAATAATTTTGTTGATAAGTTTGTTTGTTAGAACACCGGGGCCCCGCACTGCCGACGGGCTTCTCAGCAAGGGGTCAGGTCCTGTGACTCACCGCTCCTCTCCCGGCCGCGTCCCTAGTAACTGGCGGCGGGAGAGAAGTGTGTGTGTGTCACATGCCCCGCCCCCGGCACACATCATCTGTCTGAGATGCGGTGAGGCTTTGGCTGGGTGAGTCCGAGCGGCGATCGAGGAGGGGAAAGAGGAGGAGGGGGGCCGAGGGTTGTGTGCTGTTATTTCATTTAATTAGAAAAGTGGATTGTAATGGGGAACATTACACTGTAATGTTCCCTATCATAATCTATTTCTCTGATTAAATTATTACAGACTGGGCCCCTGTTCTATTAAAGTTTGTGACTACGTTAGAATGTGTGACCGGTCACATGGTGGAGCGCGATGGAATGTGAGATTGCAGTCACAAAGTCTGATCAGCTGTTCCAGGGCAGACCGGTTCTCCTGCACATACGATCTGCTATGCCGATCTGCCCCAGCAGCAGCAGGTAAGTGTGATCCGATCCCGCGCACTCCCCCCCATCTTGGGAGGGGGGACCAAGATAAAACATTGCACCAGGGCTCTTTGGTTCGCCACTGCCTCCCCCTACCACCTTGCAACCTTGCAAGCAAAGCACCTTTGTCCCAATGTTGACCTGGCAGCGCACCGAGCTGCTGTGTGGGGACCTGAATGGAGTGTACGCATTGTACGCAAAGTTTTAGCAGACAGTCTACTGTGAACGGGCCCTTATACATATCCTCAGAAAGTTGACATTTATACAGGCCTTCACAGGCTTTAGTAGCACATTCGGGAGGAAGGGGGGCATGGAATGATGACCACTGTTTATACTGATTCCTGTTGTCTAGTATTATCTCGGTCTCACTATTAGAAGACTGTTGGGGTTTGCTGCCCTCTTGAGGTTGGAACCGCCAGTCTATGAATGGTTTCTGATTACTGCATATATGTATTCACATACCTTTTTTTAACTGTCCTGCCTAGGACTTGACAATGTTCAACATTCATCTGGTATTTATCTTTTTGGGGGAATTAGTGAAAAACATACCTACAAAGAGGTAGGCAAGTACAAACTCCCAAAAAATCCATTTTAATTCCAGGCACACTACTTTTGTTCCCCATGGTCCCTGTATATTCCCACCAATCCAAGCTTGCTCCTGGGATGGATTACAATCTCACCTTCAGTTTTCTAAATTCTATTGAGATTGTAATCTATCACAGGAGTGAGCTTGGAGTGGTGACTACTTTACAACACACGCAGGGACCATGGGGAACAAAAGTACCTCCCTCCAGAAGGAAGGACAGTGTCAGCCCCAATTCAGAGATGATTGGAGGATCTACAGCCGAGTGATACACAAATAAGATACATTATTGTTAATAGTTAAGGTACTTAAATGCATGTTTAAGATTTAACTCCCAAGTTTAGTGTCACTTTAAGACGTCTTCTGCCATCATTGGCATTCCAAAATGTATTTTATTTTACAATATTGTGCTTATTTGGAAGGTAAAAGAGGATACACCTGTGTTTACCATGGATACTGACAACATGTCTAGATGCTGCAATGAAATGATTAGCCATCACCCTCCAGGAATACTCTCCGCCCAGTTATGTGCTTAGTGCACTCTCTAGCATCTTATCATGCATGCAGCGTGCGACCCCGGCCCAGTTTGTAATGTTCACCCACAAACTACATTGGCGGAGAAGTCACATTGCAAACTCTCTTGAATAAGTTGCTTCATTCATTTGAATTGTATTTCCCCTCAAAGTAACCCTTTGATTTTAATACTGTTGCAGAAAATGACCGGTTTTTAGTCCTGGCAATTAAGTACAGCTTGTTTTCACAGTAAATTGATCCCAATTGCCTTTGGGGTTATTGTTTGAAGCACAGTGCTGCCTGCCTCGTTCCTGATTATCTTAATCACTGGCCTCACTTCAGACACATTTATCATGTTACAGTCTTATCTTTTCTCTGTGAGTTATCTTTTCATACCAAAATAAACAGTAAAAAAACAAAACCACAAAATAATTTCCTTCTGTCTGAAAATGTCACTGTAATAGTACAATTACTGAAAACAATCTTGCAAATTTCTGTGAGCGATTTCTAAAGCTGACCATACACCAATAGATTATCTGCAGATTTTCTATGGTCAGGTGGAAAAAGTGCCACGGATTCCTCCATCTCCGCTAAACTGTGTGGATGGAAGGATCTCCCACTGGGCCAAGTTTCAGAATCATGCTAGTCGGCCCAGTGGCTCCCCAAATACCTGAACAATGCCTGCATCCAATCAGATTGTTCAGCTATTTTAAGAGCCAGCGGGGCCGACTAGCAAGATACTGAGGCTTGGCCCAGCGGGAGATTCCTCCGTCCACACAGTTTAGCGTAGATGGAGGAATCTGTTGCACTTTTTCCATCTGACCATAGAAAATCTGCAGATAATCTATTGGTGTATGGCCAGCGTTAGAATATGTATACGATGGTGTAGTTTATATAATGGCCAATCAAACTCCTTGTTTTCACACAAATAAACATATTTTGAGGCAGTATCAGAAAATGACTCCAGTTCGGTTCCTTTTTATTATATATAACATAGATTATTTTTAGCCCAGTGACCAGTTCCCAGCCTTACAATCACTATATAAGGAAACTTAACAAGCAGGAACTATCTAAGAACAAATTGAAGTGGTCATTGTAAAAATGCTGCTCGTCTGGTCCGGGGAATGTTTGCAGCTTGAGAAGTCACACTCCTCATCTGCTTACTTGTTTATGTCACTGGCATGTAATATTTGAGGCAGCAAGACATCGGGACAACCAGTATAATAGATCACATACTCTCCCAGTACGTGTTATATGAATCTCAGCACAGCGCTGCCGAAACATATTGCAAAACCAACACTATCACTGGACCAAAGTGGGGAGAGTTTAGCGGAAATAAGACTGACAGCCAGGGGGGAAGTGCAATGTGTGCGCAGCGGAAATGACAGGCGCGGTTGGCATTCCAGCGGAAGTAAAAAGAGTGCGTGGCAGTAGAACAGTGGAAAAGACAGGAATGGTTAGCAGCCCGTAGGAAGAGTGTGTGGCGGAAATGGCAATCGTGGATGGCAGTCCCGTGGAAGTAGGGAGAAGCGGATGTGGTTGGCAGTCCAGCAGAAGCGAAAACAGCGTATGGCGGAAATGACAGGTGAGGTTGGCAGTCCGACGGAAGTTAGACAATGAGTGGCGGAAGTGACTGGTGTGGTTGGCAATCAGGTATACCTGAGGAAGTGAGGAGGGTGTGGCGGAAATGAAAGCACAATTGTGTGACAGCCTGGACGGAAGTGGGGAATGAGTTGCAGAAGTGGGTGGGGGAATGAGTTACACAAGTGGGTGGGGGAATGAGTTACACAGTAGGGGATGAGGGAAGAGTTTGAAGTGAGTAGTGTACACTGTGAAGCTGAGTAACAGGGGCGATGACAGCTGGGGCTCGGAGCATTCTACAGAACTGGGTACAGAGGCTTTACGGTCCTCTCACCCGGCTCACCGGAAGGAGTTACTCCAGGGCTACACACACTCATGTAAGAAGACTCGGTTTGGGTCATGTAATGTCCTTTATTCCCAGTGTCATGGCTTTGAGGTGAAATGCGAGGGACCATAGGTTGTTGTAGAACTGCATTAGAGCACATAAACAATAAGCAATAATAATACACAATGGGTGGACTTTTCTCTTTCATTTTCAAAGCTTAACTGATCCAACTGAAGAGAGAAGCTCCAGATTCGGTCTGCTCCATTTTTTTATAAATTTCCAATATACTGATTTATAGTACATAGAGCACTGAGGAGTCAACTGAGGGAACAATAGGGGGAGTGGGTGAACCTGTCCGGCTTCCCCTATGGAAGGATGACATTGCACGGTGTTTACTATGGATTGTAACTACAGGCATCCGTGTATTAGAGTGTAAATGTGTAATCACACAGATGACGGGGTTATCCTACAAACTGATATTTATCATATCATATCATTTGGAGACTTGCAGAGACAATTACTGATAGACTTGACCCGACATTTTGTTTATCTCCTGGAAAAACACATGCTGAGAGTAGTACTGAGTACTTGTAGTACTTGTGTGTCTACATGTGTATGCATCGCTTTTGTTTTTCACGCCTTTTAATGCATTTTTGTCATACTTTTTCTTTTGGACAAAGAAGGCGAAATACAGTCTAGGTTGCTAGGGGAATGGCTTGTTGTCATGCACTAAAACACAGCTCCCGCTAAAGCCTGTGGGGCTAAAAATGTAGCACTGAAAGCACCTGCAACTTTCCAAAAACCCCACTTCATGATGTTGCTAATGTGTGAATGGACATCATAGATCAGGGCTCAAAATTTCCACTCACCTGCTCACATCTGGCAAGTGGAAATAAAGTGAGGGCGAGTCAGGCACGAGTCCAGTGGCAGGATAGGGGAAGAGAAGGTGGGGGGTACCGGCCGCCCGGGACAGGCGAACGTACATAATTGTACTGCAGAGCAGCCTGCAGGCACACTATGGCCCCCAGCGAGCAGCCACCTGAATACAGAGTCCGCCACCTCACCGGGAGGACAGTCAGATAAGGTGATGCTTTCATCTCTGTGTTCTGTGACATGTCTGTAGTCCTCTATAACTGATAGAATTAATCTGCATTTCTGTATAAAGTGTTGCTAGGAGTTGTAGTCCTCTATAGCCTTTACCATTCTGCATTTATGTATAACGTATTGCTGGGAGTTGTAGTCCTCTATAGCCGTTACCATTCTGTATGACGTATTGCTGGGAGTTGCAGTCCTCTATAGCCGTTTCCATTCTGCATTTCTGTATAACGTATTGCTGGGAGTTGTAGTCCTCTATAGCCGTTACCATTCTGTATGACGTATTGCTGGGAGTTGCAGTCCTCTATAGCCGTTTCCATTCTGCATTTCTGTATAACGTATTGCTGGGAGTTGTAGTCCTCTACAGCCGTTACCATTCTGCATTTCTGTATAACGTTTTGCTGGGAGTTGTAGTTCTCTATAGCCGTTACATTCTGCATTTCTGTATAACGTATTGCTGGGAGTTGTAGTTCTCTATAGCCGTTACATTCTGCATTTCTGTATAACGTATTGCTGGGAGTTGTAGTTCTCTATAGCCGTTACATTCGGCATTTCTGTATAACGTTTTGCTGGGAGTTGTAGTTCTCTATAGCCGTTACATTCTGCATTTCTGTATAAAGTATTGCTGGAGGTTGTGGTCCTCTATAGTCGTTACCATTCTGTATAACGTATTGCTGGGAGTTGTAGTCCTCTATAGCCGTTACCATTCTGCAGTTCTGTATAACGTTTTGCTGGGAGTTGTAGTTCTCTATAGGTGTTACCATTCTGCATTTCTGTATAATGTATTGCTGGGAGTTGTAGTCCTCTATAGCCGTTACATTCTGCAGTTCTGTATAAAGTATTGCTGGGAGTTGTAGTCCTCTATAGCCGTTACCATTCTGCATTTCTGTATAACGTGTTGCTGGAAGTTGCTTTGTGTTAATATTGTTAAAGTTGTTGTTGTTGTTGTTAATATTTATTTTTGTAACTTTTATTCCGAATAAAACATGTAACAGTGTCATTTCATAAAATAATTTAGGAGGGTGTGTTTTGGGGCGGAGTTAAGGTTGGGGCAGTGAAGGGGTTAGGTGGGGCAACTGGTGGCGAGTAACTCTTAAGGTCTAGTAGCACAGGACCTGAAATGTTGAGCCTTGCCATGATTCCTCCCAAATTGAAACGACTGTGTAGACTTGTAAGCCGGAAAGGGCAAAGTGTAAAGCTTGATGAGTGTAGCAGAAACAACTGGTGAGCCTGACAGGGACACAGCGTAGGGATTGGTGAGCCTGATGGAGACAGAGCGAAGGGATTGGTAAAGCTGATGGGAACAGAGCATAGGGATTGGTGAGGCTGATGAGGACAGAGGTTAGGGATTGGCGAGCTCGAAGGGGACAGAGGTTAGGGATTGGCGAGCTCGAAGGGGACAGAGGTTAGGGATTGGCAAACTCGAAGGGGACAGAGGTTAGGGATTGGCGACCATGACAGGGGCAGAGCGTAGTGATTGGTGAGCCTGATGGGGGCAGAGCATAGGGATTGATTCTCTACAAGGTTTGTGATATATAAATACAGAACATACATACATTCTAATGCCACTTTCTTCATAATGTACAATTGCATGAACAAGTTGTGAATTGTCTGCCTACAATAACAGAATGCTTGGAATCTAAATAGGGGTCTGTCATGTTGTTACACTGAGCTCACTATTCAGACATTGCAATTCAGCAGGTAGTCCCGCTGCAAGGGTTAATTTTTTTACATGTCCCAAGTTCTTCTAAGGTGAATATTGCCTCTAATGTCTGTTGTGAGCTATTGCAAATAGTCCTTAGTTATCAGGTGATTTACATCAGCAAGGTAAAGAGAAGCCCCAGAGCGGATTATTATTCATGTTAAGTAATGAAGGGTTTTGTTGCAGCCTTTATGGAAAACAAAGCGAGTGGGAATCAGGAATCGCAGTCCCTGGGAAGTTGGGGCATTTACACAGAGAACACAGACTGTATTTGCTCAGAAGAACAGGAATGCAGATGAGCCAACTAGTTTGAGTCAGAACTCACAGCAGGGTCAGGCCGACTTGCTGTGAATGAGCTTGATAAAGCTGGACAGGTCACAATTAGGGTTGGCCAGCTCACTGCTGGTCTTAATGCTTCTCCAGAAGACTACTTACCAGGTGGCCTCCAGAAACTCCCCCAAGGTAAATTGCTCCAAGAGTGCTTAAGAAGCACAACCCCTTGGCAACTGCTGGTGCACGGTGGGACCCTGTGGGGATTCCACTTTCAGAGTAGCAAGGGGTTACAGGACAAGAATTCCCACCATTCTGGCAACACTGGCCAATTAAAGTGTATGTCAGAGCAAAATAGACATATGTGGTACATCTCTGCAATGCACACGCGTTTCTCCATGTTATATCCCTGTAAAGTACAGCAAGTACAGAAAAATGCGTTGTCAGAAATGCTCCCAACGTCAAAGTCTTGTATGCGGACAACATACAGCATGTGTGTGTACAGAGTAGTGTCAGCCCTGCCCACTTGTCTTTTGCTGAACTACTGAATCACGCCTCTTTTTATGCCCACATCATAAACACTAATTGATCTATAGTCCAAGATAAGAACTGGGAGGGACAATTACGCACTTTGAGATAACAGGAAGTGTAGAGAAACCACAGGACACTTTAAATTGCATATTTAACAGACTGAAGGGGAGAAAATAAGAGAAGCTGCAGAATACAGTTGCCAATTGTCTTTTTAATCTATCCTGACACGCAGCGGGGACACAGAGCTCCTTGGGGATTATACCTGGCTGCTATAGGAAAACATCAGGTCATCCGTGAGGGCAAGTTCCCACCAATTACAGAGCGTTCCAGAGCGAGAGCTGCTGGAACTGCGTTCCGGGGCAGGCATGGAGCATTTTTTTTGCGATCGCACTGGACTACAACACAGGCATTGTTTTGCCACGCGTTCTGGTGCAGGCGATCACAATGCTGGTGGGGGGCGTGGCCGTGGTGCCATTGACTTAAATGAACCACCACACTCCCTCCGACCCCAGAACACGGGGGAGTTTAGTGTGCGATTACAGTGCATCCCAGCAGCTACCGCTCTGGAACGCACTGTAATTGTTGTGAAGAAGCAACTATAGATTGTTTCAGGGAAAATTTGGGATCAGAGGCACAGGCCGGACATGGAACCTCTGGCCAGATCATCAGGTATTTTCTGTAAATGCTGGAAAGTTTTTTTTTTGTTTTTTTTAGCTTCACAACTAATTCAGCCACAACTGGTAAGCTTCAATAGAGGAGATTTTTGTTATTGGGTTAAGACACACTTTGAATATTAACTCCCCTCCGTTTGACCATGATGCCATAACCTTGTAAGTGGTCATGTGACTTTCTGCCAGAGATGAGGATTAATCATACTCAAGCAGAAGGTAAGTATTTGGGATATCTCTTTAATGTTTTCATGGTGTCACAGTAGATTCTGTGTATTGGAAAAATTTATGTGGCCACAATAGGTCTAAATTGCATAGCGTGGATGAAGGAATCTGTTGGTGCAGCAGTTCCCAACCCCAGAGGTACTTGGAAGCACGTTTAGGAGTACCTGAAAATATTTTTGTAATGGTGGAAAAAGGCTGTGCCAATGGGGAGTTGGGGACTAAATGTGTGTAAACGGTCTGCAAAGTAATCTGTACTAATGTACTATGGCATACCCCAAGGCATATGGCATCCCCCCCTCCAGCCTCCCAGCTCCCTGTTTCATCCCACTGACATCAACACAGTGGCATTTGAGCTGTTCTACTGTTAATGCAATTTGGCCATACCTACCATTCAGCGCAGCCCACCACATGCCTTACTATTAGCCCCGTCCCCTGTCCCACCACCACTGAGGGGTACAGTTTATACAAATCAGCTGCCAAGGGGTACGCAAGTAATCTGAATGTGTTTAGTGGCTTTATACCACACACTCCAAACCGACCTTTACCCTCTTTCACTAAAAATCACATCAGCATACAGCTCTGCATACTGATATGAAATCATCTTACAGTCATTAGTTTAACAAACTTGTTTTTCATTTACTTACAAATAGAGTTTTTCCACTTCCTGGTCCAGTTCTGGCACACAATTTGTAATGTGCCCAAGCGTTGCATTCTGGGAAGGTTACATCAGCATTGCATTGCTGGGTAATCTCATCTGTAATCTCACAAGATCTCAGGGAAAGGCATTTTCCTCCTCTGAGATGATGTGCATGGTCACATGTCCTAGTCACATGTGCCAGAGTTCCAGGAAGTAAAGGGAGATGGATTCATCTGCCCTTAGTAAATACGGCCAATGTGAGAAGAATAGAGAGGAAAAGAGAAATAAAGTATGCGGAGAATACAAAGCCGGCAATTATCTAGAAGTGTGTGTCTGTAGATAGTCATCACTAAACATTCCTAAAGGTGTCTTTGTTGTCATTTCATAGAAATAGTTAAAGGTCCACTTTAAGCTGATGTCACTGTCAGGCTTCCATGGAGGCTGCTGACCTGTCTCAGCCTTTAGGCCTGGTTCCAGGAAGAACGTTTTGTAGCGCGTTCAACGCTCGACGAACGCTCTACAAAACGCTCTACAAAACGCTCAAACATCTAAATCCCATTGTATTCAATGGGTCTGGTACACACCTTGCCGTAATTCCGCCCGTCTGAACGCAATACAAAACGTCCTACGCACAAAGAAGTACATGTACTTCTTTGGTCTTTTTTTTAATCGCGAATCGCGGTAAAAAACGCGCATATTCAATACGCCTAGGTGTGAACCCAGCCTTAGTTTTTTTTCCTTCATGTGTTCCACACAATGGACAGTTTGAGAAGTGCCCATTATCAGCACTGAGCTTTGCCAGGGGACAGGACGGCCTGACATTCAGCCTGATGTTTCTGCTGTGATAGGGAGAGAATACAAGTATTAAAAAACAAAACAAAAACCAGGCAATTCCCAGAAGCCAAGACTGCGCTAAATTAAAACTGTAGATTCACATTATTACAGCTACTTCTTGGTGACTGGTTCTCTTACATGATATGAGAAATCGGAACTTGTTATTATCAGTGATTTCTAATTGTTTGCTTTTGTGTACAACAGATCCCAGTGAAGTTCACCTTGTTGGGGAAAGGTCTTGTGCTGTCATCCCTCTCGGTCCTGGCCATGGAATCGTACAGTTCGAAGAGCAAGCATGCTGAAGTACATGCCAGCATTAAAGGTGCTTTATTTGTGGGGTTTTCAACAATGAGCAGATGTGTTGTTTCAGTGTTCTGTACAGAAATGTGACAATTACATTCTAAATCAGTGATTCTCAAACTGTGTAACCTCAGGTCCTCGGTCATTAAGTTCCTACCCACGTCGCGCCGCACTGGAACTTGCGGCATGTTCCAGTGTGGGCGGGAGGTGCGTTTGGAGTGCCATTCAATTGAATCGCAATGCAACAGCAAGCTGTGATTTGTCTGGATTTGTTTTCTCATTTTGTCTCTCAGTTGAGGTCTACCTATGATGCCAATTACAGGTCTCTCTCATCTTTTTAAGTGGGAGAACTTGCACAATTGGTGGGACTAAATACTTTTTTGCCCAACTGTAGGTGCGATTGAGCAGTAGAGTGTGTTAACTGCATGGGACTGTTCGATTAACGCACTGTACTAGTGTGAAAGGGCCCTCAAATACACTGACAGACACACAACCAGACACATTCTCTCACACTCATACACACTCCAAAATGTTTACACACTCCAAAACATTTTTTAATTATTCTTTTTTCAAGGTCCTCCCAGTCTTCCTACCTTACTAGAACTTGAGTGGATCCTCAGCCTGGGGTCCAGTGTGGGCTGCTGTGCTGTGACAGAGCTCCATCCATATGTGCATTGCTGGTACAGCTCCCTTGCGCACCGTATAAAGGTGCCAGGAGCCAGAATGTGACGTCAGTCCAGACCAGACACCTCTACAGGACACGTGAGGGAGCTTAAAGCAATGCACGTATGAATGGAGCTCCCTTGCGGACAGACCCCCAGCCTACCCCACCTCAAGCTGACACTTGGGGCCAGGAAGCATATTTAAAATGGTTGCTCGGCACGAGAACTGACAGTGCTGTGTTAGGGGGAGGCTGAGGAGCATCTCATCTAGCGCAGCGGAAGACACGGGGTCGTGACCCACCAGTTGAGAACCACGGTTCTAAAGGACTAAACTTGACTGGAAGAACGAACATCTGTCCGCCGCTCCAAACAATTTCTTCTTTAGATTCACTTGGCAAGCAGAACCCCATAGAAGGCAGTCAGAATCCAAATCAAATCTGATCTCACTTGAATAAAAGCGGCTGGATTAGTTTGCATGGGTAACAATGCATAATTCCTCTTCTTGTTTTCCACTTCTAAAACCCTCCATGTTTTGTAAAGGATCATTAACCAGCTCAGACAAGGAGGTGCAAAGAGCAGTGATGAGTTACTGTGTGCCGTGAGATCAGTGAGGGGTGATTAGCTGCTGTGAGTTCTTCTTCTTTTCTAAATGAGGGAGCGTCTTTTATTACATTTATTAAGTGCTGTGATTGTTTAGAGTGCCTGGCCATAGGTGTATCCCCCCTTCTCCCTCCCAAACAGAATGTGGGCACCTGCTAATGACAATAATTATGGACTGGTGGTGATTCCCGACAGTCAGCCAGCAAGATGACCCATGTCTGGGGTGATATTGTAGGAATCCAGTGCCAAATTAATGACAGTACACATGTACCTATTGTACACTTGTCCTCTGCACACTCCACACTGTCATATTGTTGGTTGGTGATGAAAGTAAAAATGTCTTTTTAGATTGCACAGAATTAATTGTTTTTCCTTGTTTTCCTTTTTAAGTGGAAGACATACAGGAGCAAGCTGATTATCTTCATGGCAACGGAGAGACTGACAAGCTGTATGAATTTCTAAGCCAGTATAAGAACAGGTACAGCTGGTTTATGCCACTGGTTCAGTGATGCACGTGATTCAAGTATTGTGATGTTCCGTGATGAAATTCTGACCTGGACAGGCTAATGAAATCAGCTTTATTTTCAGTGAAGATCCCGAACTTCTGTGGAGACTTGCCCGGGCGTCTCGGGATCTGGCTCACCTCAGCAAAACTGCCCCTGATGTGAAAAAGCGTCTGGTGTATGAATCCCGGGACTTGGCTAAGAAAGCGTTGGAACTGAATGAGTCGTGCTCACCTGCTCACAAAGTTAGTGTAAACTATATAGTATTATTGTTATCAATTCATGCCGTCAGTTGTCTGATTCTACACTGTGACAGGTCGTGAACCTTTCCTAGCAGTCTGCCAAGTTGCCTCATTCATCATCATTTTCACAGTAATAAGGATTATTGGAGGAAGCAGGCTGCGCAGGTCTGTCTTCTTAGGAGACTGCAAGGCTTTCCCACACCAGATGGAGGATATAACCATGCCGGTGTGATATGTGTTTGTTATCAGTTGGACATAGCTCATACATTTCCCAGTAGAGGTTCATGCTGAGCCCGATACTCAAAGCATTCTCTCTGGGTCCTCTTGATTCTAATCTGAGATGTTTCTGAACCACATCCCCTCACCATTTCACTGACATTAAACCCAGCAAAAGCAGAACCTTATCTGACATGGCAACCACTGACTATCATCACTATCCATAGCGCATGACACTGACACCAGGGACATGGATTGTTCATGTTCCTAGCCATACATTAATGATTTTATAGGTTTCTACTCTACAACTTCATCTTCATAGTAATACTGTTGCCCGCAGATTGGTGCATATTACAGTATTTGGGTGAATGCATTTGGGCCATGCACTTGATTTGATAACAATGATGTATGTAAGTATTATATTCATCATGCTGCTTGTGCCCTGAATTTGTGAATATTCGTTACTAAAAGCTGTTCTCCACGTTCAACTCTAACGTATACCTATCCTGTCATCTTCAGTACGCCTCAGAGCAAAACTCCCAGACAGAGTGCTATATACACAGATGAAATGTATACACGCATGTTTACTGACTTACCCAACAAGTTGCCGGATCTGTCATTCTCTAGAGCCTTGTGATTCACACACTACACACCAGACAGGTGACAATCATAAGCTATAGTTTTGTTTGTTTGTTTTTTAGCTTCGCTCAAACTTCTTCCAAATCTTTGTCACTTGAGGGCTCTTGCACAAGGATGGTGGCTCCCATACATTGTAAATGCTGATGTATTCATGCTGGCAGAGCGCTCCAGGTACAGCGTACAGACTCACAAAAAAAGTCAATGGTACTACGTAAATGCGCACATGTGCACAGATATACAACAGCGCACAGCCATTAACTTTATTGTGAGGCTGTACGCTGCACCTACAGTGTATGGGAGGCGGCGTCCGTGCGCAAGAGCCCTAATATCCTACGTGGTAGCTAGGGCAAACTTTCTACATGGGCCATCAGCATTTTTATGTCCCAAAATGATATTTCATATTTATTGGTCAAATCCTTGTATTTAAAAAAAAACAAAACAACCCAGTAGAATAATATAATACCCAAAACAAGTAGAGTATATGTCCAACTAATCGATTATGAAAATAATCGTTAGCTGCAGCCCTAGTTACAACCCATTCTTTTGTTTCAATACAATACTGTATATTTAGCTTTTGCAGCTCTGGTTCACCAAGTTTGCACATATTAGTAATTCAGTTTTGTTGTCTTTATTTTAACTTGCATTGCAGTATAAATATTAAGCTCATTTGTTTTGTTGCCACTTACCACTACCAATGGCGCATATCTGTAAGTTAGTTCATTGTCATCGTCCCCATCCATTCCCAATGATTCCTGTTGTTTCTATCTGTTTCTGTTCCAGTGGTATGGCATATGCCTCAGTGATGTGGGGGATTATGAAGGCACCAAAGTGAAAATTGGGAACTCCTATATTATAAGGGAGCACTTTCAGGTACAGTAAACCCATGGCTGAAGAATACATACACACATATAAAAGCACTGCAGTGATTGGTCCACTCTGTACAGCTCGGGTGAAGCTTGGAAGTTATAGGGATCCTCTCATGAGGAGATGTACCTAGCCACTTGGCTAACAATGAAATTAGGTAGCTGTTGTAGCCAGAACCACTAAGGTGCACAATATATCTGTGTCAGTGACTTTCCCAATCATTCAGACGGTAGTATAGATAGATGTATACATAGAAGGGCAGACATACACCGAGTGGCCAGATTATTATGACCACCTGACTTTTGTAGGCAAATTAGCTAGAATTTTGCGCTGAAGTTGCTAGAGGGCCAGACCATTATAGATAGGGAAGCAGGTTGTTTACCACGACGGTAGAAGTGATTTTTCTTCTGAAGATATGGGTACACAACGCGATTTAACAGCCTTTGAACGTGGGATGATTGTTGGCACTCAGAGCCATGGCGCGGGTATCAGCAAAACAGCAGAATGAGTTAAATGTTCAAGAGGGGCTCATTGTTAAAGTGTTTAAAGACTGGACTGTCAGCCGAAAATCTGGGTCTGAACGTGCGAATTGTGGCCGTCAGCGGCTAGTCAATGTTAGGGCAGAACGGAGAGTGGCAAGACTGGTACAAGACAACAGAAGGGCAACAGTGCAGTGTCAGATTCCTCGCATCACCTTGCAACATCTCATGGAGTCACGAGGCGGCCCAACAAAGTCATCTTGTGGAGTCATCTCGTGGCCCAACGAAGTACTGATGGGGTGGTCATAATAATCTGGCCACTCAGTGTATGTCTCCTATGGTGGAGAGACCTTGTAGCCTTGTACTAAAAATAAAATAAAGCATAGCCACCCTGTGTAAAAAAAAAAAAAGACATTTTATACTGGCATCAGTGAGAGATCTTTCCTCGTTTCCAGAACTCCAAGCACCTCTCAGACACCTCCAGAGCAATGCAAAGATAAAGGCAAACATACAAAATGCATTATTCTCTAAACACCTTTTATGGAGGGAGCCAATGTCTGTTGTGTACTATACATCATTAGTATACATCCACAATTCCCAGTACGTTTGTGCTGCTTCGTGTTCATTGCGATCTTACCTGACCAGCATTGGCAACTTGTAAAAGTCCTAATTCAATCAGTGGAATGATACCGCAATCCCTTTCTAAATGCTGCTCAGGTATATGGTTGGTGTTTTGGCAAGGTCCACTCCTTGTTTTCATCTCCAGGGTATGAACACGTTTTTACAGAGGTCAGTGAGCGCTTGGTTTACAGCTCATTTACTTCTTAAAAACATATGAATAGCCCGGCAGCAGCTTCACTTTCATCACTCAAGAAAAATGGCTCCGTGCAGATGAGGTAAGAATTGCTAGCACCCGATTTGTTTGTAAAAGAGACTTGGCATGTCCTTCCTGCCATAAAACTCTGCTTGCAGGCAGTGGCGTATTTTGGTTTTGTGCTGCTCTAGGCAAGACTAACCTCGGGCACCCCCCCTCAATCTAAATTTGCCCCACCCCATCCTGTTTAGGACATTTTGTGCAACCTGTCAGTCACTGGATACAGTGCACAAGGGGTCTTAGGAGAGCTGTGCATGGTCTCAGGTGGGCTGTATGGGGTCTCAGGAGAGCTGTGCAGGGTTTATGGTGGGCTGTGTGGGGTCTATGGTGGGCTGTGCATAGTCCCTTTCCCTGCATACATGTGCTGCTCCTCTTACCTGCAGCTTGAAGTGCCATCAGTACCAAAAAGATGCATCCCCCCCCACCCTGCTTCTGGGGCATCCCGCCATCAAATCACATGCTATGGCTAGCCCCAAGCCACCCACTGCTTCTTTTCCACCCCCCTGTACAAAGCCAGCTGGACCGCATCTCACTGGACCCTCGCCTCCACCGGGCAGCTCTCTAATTAGGCAGGCGCTCTTATGGCCGCCTAGTTTGCCTCATTAGGCAGCCGCCACTGCCTGATTCTGTGCCGTCCAGCCTCGGCCCACTGAGCAGGTGCCCAGTATGCCCGAGGGCAAGTCCGGCTCTGTCCATCTCATTGGTTTGGGGTGGCATTTTCTGCCGCCCCCCTGGAAAGTGCCGCCCTAGGTAAATGCCTAGTTTGCCTTGGAGTAGATACACCCCTGCTCGCAGGACTGTAGTGTGCAGAGTTACTTATTAAACAAAAAATAAGCAGTATCTTCGATATTTCTGCTGACCTAGATATACAGTATATATAATATGCGTGTTGGCAGGGCAGGAGGGCCAGTCGAGCTCCAACTCTGTGACATAAGGCGGTATTGAACTTCAAATGATGGCCAATTATGATCCTCATTAAATGAAATCACTTCATCTAGCTTTGTTCATAAACATACCTGGAGTTGGACTTTATTTATTGTAGTGCCATGTTATTTTACAAACAGTATTATTGCTGAACATATGTGACATTTTGGTTGATTCATTTTAATGTTCTTGCAGAGGGCCATTGAGCTGAACCCAAAGGATGCCACAACCATCCATCTCATAGGCCTGTGGTATGTGATTTTCTGTAAACATTCACAAATGACTTCTTCACATGCTCCCATTCTGGTGTTGCAGCATTGAAATGGATTTAAACCTTCACTGACATAGGAGTGAATGGAGTCTGAATAGTGGCCATATCAGATGCTTGAGGTGTATTATTGGCCCAGGAAGTGAGGGTTAGCTCCCCCTTCTGTCCTACCTCCTGGGTAGTGGCCGCAGGCTTGTGCTTCTCGGAGGGCTGATACCCACAAGTCTACGGCAGAGACACAAATGGTGGAGCCCCGCTGTTGGCTGCCATATTGCTGCACACATTGGAGGGAACTTATACAAAGTGTCTGAGACAACCAATCAGCTTCTGTCTTTCATTTTTTTTCCACACAGCTTAGAAAATGAAAATGTAAAAGCTGATTGGCTGCACTCCAGTTGAGGCAAAGTTTGTCTCAGACACTTTTTATTAGTTCCGCCAGTTGTATGTCCTCAGTGACATGGAAGCTGGTGGTGTGTTGTTGGATGTAGCACCTCACAGATGACAATAATTCTGGCAGACCCAGTGCCTCAGGTCAGCACTGACCACCACTTGACAAGCACTTCTTCACTGACCGCCATGCACCAACAAGCACTTCGCTGACCGCCATGCACCAACAAGCACTTCTTCACTGACCGCCATGCACCAACAAGCACTTCTTCGCTGACCGCCATGCACCAACAAGCACTTTTTCGCTGACCGCCATGCACCAACAAGCACTTCTTCGCTGACCGCCATGCACCAACAAGCACTTCTTCGCTGACCGCCATGCACCAACAAGCACTTCTTCGCTGACCGCCATGCACTTCTTCACTGACCGCCATGCACCAACAAGCACTTCGCTGACCGCCATCCACCAACAAGCACTTCTCCTCTGAGCATCACCAATGAAAAGTCTCAGCAAGTACTGTAAACTGCTGCACTCTGTATGCTAAGCTATGCATTACATTCCTCAGACTGCTGAACTCTGTACACTGAAACGCACAATTATGAGACCTGGAAATGTTAAAGGAATCCGGTATTCACCCAGTCCAGGCGCAGGCTCACTTTTTGCTGGTTGTTTTTAAAGCATTGATCAACAAAGTAGTAACAAACTGTTCCCAGTCTTCCCATCTGTTTATTAAAGATCCAGTCTTTAGATTTGACTGAACCTCTTGCTTAGTGTTCACATATATGTAATATGAATGACTGTGTACCTTACAGGTGTTACATGTTTGCTGAGCTGCCCTGGTATCAGACTAAAATTGCTGCAGCGCTGTTTGCTGCGCCACCAACTGCAACATTTGAAGAGGTAACATGGCTTGGGACATGAACAAGGCTGTGACACTGCTAATGAATACACGTATATACAAGCTGCTGATCCTCTGTCATGTTTTTACTGCTGTCTTTGTGCCGACCTCTCTTTATATACAGTATATATATCCTACGCACGCACGCACACACAATCACATACAGGCACACAATAGGTTGAACTTGATGGACCTGTGTCTTTATTCAACCTCAAATACTATGTATCCAGGTGACTTATGTCACTGGAAAGTAGCAGACATCCGAAATCTGGAATTTATACCCAGAACAGGAATAGAGGGGAAATCTTCCAATGGGGACACCTAGTACAGGAACAAAACTAAATATCCTGAGAGTTACAATTACTGAAGGTGAAGGGTGCAATCTTCTGGTCCAAGGAAAGGAGCGGACTGATGATGGAGGAAATCATGAAGGATTATAGTCTTCTGGGCCTGGGCTGTAAGGGTTGGAAGGTTGAACAACTTTAGTAGCCATGTCACATTATAATATTTTTAGTTTGGGGCAGAGTGGGAAAGGGTTAGATCCTTTGTCGTGTTTTTTTCTCACTGTTTCTGTTGCCTTCAGAGATTTTGCTTGCGATCTTTGTGGTCATTTCAGACAGCAAGTGAGCAGAATCTCTCCAACAGGGGCACAGACGGTAATAAAACATGTTTATTGTAGTGTCGGGAAAGGTAAGAGTCTGTCAGCTCTGTATTGCTTTCCCTGCCCCCCTTTGGGGAGATCTTCCCACTTTCTGCGTTGTCATCTAGACAGGAAGTAAGGAAAACTCTTCCCAATAGGGATAAATGATGATGGCTCTCCCCAACTCAAACCAAATTCTTCTGTGCAGAGGTTTTCTGTCATCTAGCTGCCGGCATGTCTTTGATGCTAACAGGTTTCTGCTTTTCTTTTAGGCCTTACCATACTTTGAGAAGGCTGAAGAAGGTAAACTACTTAACGTTCATCTTTTTCTTTCTTCTTTGAAATGAATAATATATATATACCTAAGAGTTCCATAGGGCTGTCTATAAGATCTTCACACACAGTGGCCAGGTGAAGTAGTGCGCATGGCAGGCTGACAACGCGCCTGCTTTTCAAGGGGCAGTGGCGTAACATAGTCAGCCTGAAACAGGAAGTGCTGGCTCTCCATGAAATAAACTTTGCTTCTGTGGATTGTATACAGTGAGACATGATGCTAGAAACAGCTCGCATAGGTGAGCGTGCCGAGAGGAAACATTTCATCTTCAGATAATCGGCTCGCACGTATACACCTGCGCGTCCAATGCGAAGTCCATTCGGTTGTAACGCGCCAGCCGATTGGCTGATGATGCAGTATTTTGCTTTCCTTCGCTTGCAGTGTGTCACGGGCTTCAGGGTTTACATACAATTTAACATAGGAATTTTACGGTGAGGAAATAGTATAACCGCATCATTCACACATTTGCAGAAGCAGAATAATTCGGACTTTCCGGATGATGTATGTTTAGTTATTTCTCTTTAATATTTACCATTTTCATGGGGATCTGTATTGCCCCGTGTGGAGGAATTGTGTACACCGCTGCAGTGCATTCTATAGAGATCAGAAACCCAGGAGTTGATTGTTCTAGTTCCTGCACTCAGAGCTGGACCGCAGTGGGTGTTTGATACCCAAAAGTTACAGCCAAGCACTGCGGGGAAACACCAGTGTCTGTTTACAAATGGCCCTGGGAGAGTGATAGGTATGTACCGGTAGTTACTTTTATAAATTGATAGTAATTGTCAAAGTGGAAATCTACAGAAAACTTTTATGAGTGAGGAAAGGATGAAACTTCCTTTTTTATGTTCGTATAGGAGACAATTATTTGAAAGATGCGTCTCCACTGTGGTGATTTTTCCCTCACTTCCTGATCAAGTGACAACTCTGACAGGAAGTTAAAACCTCTCCAGTGGGGACACAGCAATAAAAAGGTTTTAACCCTTCTCCACTCTTATCTAAAACAAAGCTCAAAAACTGAAATGGGCCGAAAACGGAGCAGAATTTTTATTTGCAGTATCACTTCTATTATTACCGCCCAATTCATTGTTTTACACTGAGCTAGAAAAACGTCATATCTGAACATCAGCTTCCTTTTATGGAGAAATAAAAAAACAACATGTATACACCTATATGTATGTAGCATACACCGTGCTGCTTTTCCTGTAGAGGAAGTTAAAGGAGAACTATGGAGGTGAGTGATTTTCACATCCTCATAGTTCTAGCCGACCTGTGCTCACCTCTCGATCCTGTTGACAGAGGAGGGGCTGGATTCACCCCTCCGATCCGCCAGCGCTAACTGGCGGAACGGACGGGGTAGGGGGCGGGTACAGCTGGCTCTGCCTCTAGATAGTCAGAGCCAGCTGTCAGTCATGCACAGCTTCAGCTGTGGCCTCTCAGTATACCGCGAGCTGTATACTGAGCCTAGGGTGACGGGAGGACGCTAGTTTGTGTCCTCCAGTTACCCAAATGAGAACTATGGGGAAAACCCCGGACCCTATAGTTCTCCTTTTAATAGGTCATTCATATTGAAGACCTTGCGCTGTCACATCACTCGCAGCATTCAACAATTGAAATGTTCTTTCTTTACTATACAAAAGTTCCTCCAGGATTCTCTGCTTCACATTAATGTGTTCATTGTGTTCCAGTCGATCCAAACTTCTACAGCAAAAACCTTCTGTACCTGGGCAAGACTTTCTTACAGCTGAAGAAAAAGGAACAAGCCTTACAGTGGCTGCAGAAGGCCAGAGAGTATCCATTACAGACAGAAGAAGATAAAGAGGTATATACATTGTTTGGTGACCACAATAGTGTACACCACACACAAAGGTCTGCAGTTGTATATGGCAGGGCCATCGTTGTGTACAGGTACCTTTTGTGCCCCGCTGCTCAGATTCTCTTTCTGTGTCAGGAGCATTTGTTCACCACAAACCCTTTGTTTTTTCTTGTCTATCGAGGAAGACATGAAGCCTTTTACTGCTGACTACAGGAGGATTGCACGTTGGCAAGCAAACAAAAAATGATGCCAGCCCAGGATAACCCCTCTCACTAGCAGCATGCCTCAGTTCTTCCTACTGTCCTAGAGGGAATGGTCTTTTCTTTTCCATTGACCCTCATTGTGTCAGACTGGTTCAGGCAGATGTCATACGCTGACCCCTAGCAGACACTCGGTGGGTTCTACTAAACTCACAATCTTCTGTCCCAGGGACCAATTTTCATGGCTGTTGATGCCCAGGTTCTGAGGGCAGGGGCTTCTCAGAGTCTGTGATTCCTATGTTATTTAAAACTAGGAAATCCACTTCTCACAAGGTCTATCACTAGACATGGAAGGCATGCTTTGCTTGAGGTGAGTCTCAGTGCTTCCACCCCAGAAGGAGTTTCTCTGTGGGAAGAATTCTCTTCTTAGAGCTGGGTCTGGACCAGCGTCTGACTCTCAGTACTATGAAGGGTAAGGCTTCTTCCCTACCTATCCTATTTCAGAGACTGTTGGCCTCTTACTCTCTGATTAAGACCTTTTATACTCCCATGTAGTTTCCCCCATCCGTTCCCCTGTGACTCCATGGGTTCTGAATCTGGTTCTCTCTGTGCTTCAGAAACCACCATTTTAACCCATTAGAGACCTACCTCTCTGCCATCACCCACAAGGCGATATTTATTGTAGCCTTCTGGCACCTGAACTGGTGACCCTAACCTGCAAGAAACTTTTTTCTGGTTCTGCATAGGGACAAAGTGTTGAGGCCCTGGACTTCCTTCATGACTAAGGTAGTTTCTGCCTTTCAGCTGAACCAGGTCATTGTTCTTCTGTCACCAAAAGGAAATCTCCTATTGTCTAGATGTTGTAGATACGGTGAGAATATCTCTCAGGATTCCTTATTTGTAAATCTGGATGGACCTGGTAAGGATGCACCGGTTTTCCAATTCCACCATCTCCAGAAGTCTCAAACAGACCATCATCCAAGCTTAGATTCTCAAGATTCAGGTCCCCCCCTTTCTTCTCAAGGCGCAGACTACTAAATATGGAAGTGCTTCTTGGGCTTTTCGGCATCAAGCAACAGTTTTCCAAATTTGCATGCTGCCACTTGGTCTTCTGGTCACACGTTCTTTAAGTTCTGCCAGGTGAGCATTGCAACCTTCTCTAATGCCAGCAGTGCGAGTAAGGTCCTACAGGCGGCTGATTGAGCTGCAGGCAATCCCTAGTTGTCTGTTAGCATTTGTTTGCTGTGTTATCCACCTTCAGTTGGATCATCCTGCATCCCTGAACGGAATCTGGGATATTTGTACTTGCCGTAAAATCTTCTTCTCAGAGTCCATTAAGGCATAAAGGCCCCACACTATGGGTTTATGATCATGCTCTATATACTGCTTTGCTACAAGTGCGGCATTCTGGTAGTGGTAAGGGTTATCTTTTTTCCCCCCCTCCCGTGTCCAATCCTCCTATAGGTGGCAGCATAACCCAAAGGATAAAGACTTCCTGTGTCCCACAAGAAAAGGATTTTACGGTGAGTGCAACAATCCTATTTTTTTCATTCCCGTACAAGTCTATGGGAATGTATGTTTGTTTGAAGCGTGCCAAATGCAGATCCAAAGGAGGCCAAGTGCACCTCTCAATGAGTTCTGAATGATCTCGGGAACATCCCATACTGATGTCAAACTAAAGCCCTTTGACACAGGCCCTACATGGTGAGTTCAAACTGGACCCTAAAACAAATGAATTTTCTTTGTATTTTGCCTCAAATTGTTTTCTTTAACTACCACTTCTTCCAAGGTTCTTTCCTAGTACTTCTCAACCTCTCTGATCCCCCTTAGTGGGAGGAGTTAATAGCAGAAGGAAGTGACAATACAAAATATGCAGGATGGACTGGGAAGAGCTGATCTATGCAGCACCCCTGGTACAAAGAGCCGAGTGTCCTGATATACACAGAAGGGAACTCTAGAACATGCACTTCACCAATATTCCTATCCTCACTGGTTCATTTTAGACGCAAGAATAATCTTCACCTGACTTTGATTATGGCTTCAAGTGACACTATGACCACGGGGTCCCTGCCACAAAAAATAAACAAAGCTAGCGCTGCAATTACCTTTCCAAGAAGCGGGTCTTTAAAAGCCGTCTTCATACTGCTCACATAGCATACACCCTAGACAGAGGGTCTCCTTACTCTTCTCTGGTGCTGAGCAGTCCTAAATGCAGAAAGTGTCGCTAACCTGACAACATTAACGCTCCGCTCTGCACCTTTACACTGTGGTGACACCCTGGACTCCCAGGATGTTCTCTGAGTTGAATAGCACTATACAGGGCACATGTGATGGCTAGGTGAATTGCGGTGCTATTAGGAAATAATGGCATTGCAGTAAGTGGGGTGGTATCTCATGCAGAATTGCACACACTCCCACATTGCAAAGATATGAATGGAGCCTTATAGCTGCACTCCAGCCAAAAGTGAACATGAAAGTACTCATGGGGATGTAACAATTGAACACAATCCAATCACTGTGCCCAATGTATAAGAAAAGTAATTATCAATAGAAGAATATTCACAAGTAATAAGTATACATTTCTAACAAATCACTCTGTTCACTGTAATGATTGTTCTTGTATTACAGGTCCACAAGGAGGCCACTGATCTTCTGAAGTCATTAGGAGAAAAAGTCTGATGCTGGATGTACCCCCTAAATAGGATCATTCTACCCCATAGGAAACCATCTTCTATTTCTGTGATTTTTAACTTTTTTAAATCTTACCTTGAACTTGGGTTCGCGTTAAACATCCTGATCTGCAGGCGCCCATACCACCAGATGTACCCGCATGTATGGCCACATACCTCTGCAGGGTCCCCTGGAGCCTGGGCAGCTCTAATGTGCAAATGGCAGCTGTAGTTTCCGTCACTATTATTGACACTTCCACTGACCAGTAGTGATGACTGAGGGGAAGAGGCCAGTTGCAGCCTTGAGGTGGCCATACACTGTGAATTTGTTCTTGAGGAACCGGCCGAAATTTGCACAGTGGGTGCCGCAGTCTGTACCCTTTTGGCTGGCATCCCTTGATAAGATGGTCGGAAAATCTTGGTACAGACAGGCAGCCAATGAGGTGATGGAGGAAACTGCTCTATTGTTGTTTTTTTCAGCCTGTGGGTTGAAGGAAGATAATAGAGCAGTGTATGGTCAGCTTTAGTATTTTATGATCTTTTCAGGTTTGGTCAGCGGGGGAGCCCTACAATATACGCAGACTGCATATACGCATGCCTGACTGCATGTAGAAACCTCATAATGTGAACCTCTATTCATTTTAATGTGCAGTAACCTATGACAACAAGTCAGTCATTGGTGGGACTACATCAAAATTCCCGGGTGTGAAGACACAGCTTTACCCTGCACACTTATTACATCCAAGTCTACAGTGTAACATTTCTTTTAATGCTGTCAATGTATTTTATTAGGGTCAGGTGTTCTAAATGGCACCGGAATCCCTGAAGGTTTTAGTTTTTTCCTTGTATGTTTCCTGTTGTAGACACCCCGGCCGGGTGAAGGTCGGGTAGTACATTGTACCATAGGCTGCAGGAAGGGACACTGACCTTTTCAGAGGCTGAAAACTTCTTCTAGGTAACATTGTATGGAAAAAGATTTAGTGTTGATTGATGAGCCTTCAGCGTCTCAGGATGTAGCTATAAACTGGATTCTTTGCCTTCATTTGTTCTCCTCCTCAGTATTTCAGCAGCAGGCATCTACCTCATAATAATGTTACCTCCGTGTTCCTGCAGTATCTGAATCTCATGTCCTCCTGCCTTGTCTCATTCCACAATTCTATTGTGCCAGATGGGAAAAGTACTGAAGGGAATCAAAACTGGAGCAGACTCAATCTGATTGGTTGCCATGCACAAATTCCTCTCACTGGTTTTTCCTGCCGTGTATAACAATCTCTGGCAGAGCTACTGTACTACGCTGCCTATCAAGGGAGCATGCTGGGTACTCGGCTGGTAACAACCTCTCCGCAAGACTGATAGGAGAGAGGCACAGACAACTGGAAGATGGGTGCCTTAGGGGGTAGATAACTCACCTGCCTTGTTTGAGGGTCTTAAAGCAAACCCATTGTAAAACAAATAAAGGAATATAGAAATGTTATAATTACCAGTTCTGTCATGTGTCTCGTATCACTACACTGACCTGTATGATCTTCAGGATCTGACACTTCGGGTGTGCTGGATGCCTGTGGTTCCACCCATAAGTATGTACATCACTAGGGTGTTCCTGCAACCTTCTGGATGATCCAAGCCAATGGAACAGAACCCCTCTGTGACTCTCAGCTATAAGAGAAGTCACAATGATCTGAATCCTAAAACTACCTGCTCAATGCTAGGACCAGAAAGAATGTTGCTAATAAGCATTATACTTTGGGTTGCTGAAAGGGTAATC